CAGCCTCTCTGCCCTGTTGTTGGCCTTCCAGAGCAACTGGTTGGCCACTGTGTGAGACAGGATGCTGGACTAGATGGACCCACCCTGGTCTGACCCAGCAGGGCTCTTCTGATGTTCTTATCAGAGGAAAACCTCAGTCTCTATGTCTTGTTGTTGGCTGTCCAGAGGAACTGGTGGGCCACTGTGTGAGATGGGATGCTGGACTAGATAAGCCACTGGTCTGATCCAGCAGGACTGTTCTCATGTTCTTATTAAGGCATGCCTCGGCCTCTATGCCTTGATGTTGGCTGGTTAACCACTGTGTGAGAAAGGATGCTGGACTAGATGGACCACTGCTCTGAACCAGCAGGGCTTTTCAGAGGGAGGCCTCGGCCTCCATGACCTGTTGTTGGCCCTCCAGAGGAACTGGCTGGCCACCATTTGAGACTGGCTGTTGCCTTAGATTGACCACTGGTCTGATCCTGCAGGGCTTTTCTGATGTTCTTATCAGAGGGAGGCCTCGGCCTCCATGCCCTGTTGTTGGCCTTCCAAAGGAACTGGTTGGCCACTGTGTGAGATGGGATGCTGGACTGGATGGACCCTCACTGGTCTGATCCAGCAGGGCTCATCTTATGTTTTTATCAGGGGAAGGCCTCGGCCTCTCTGCCCTGTTGTTGGACCTCCAGAGGAACTGGTTGGCCAGTGCATGAGACAGGATGCTGGACTAGGTGGACCACTGGGTCTGATCCAGCAGGGCTCTTCTGACGTTCTTATCAGGGGAAGGCCTCGGGCTCTATGCCCTGTTGTTGGCGCTCCAGAGGAACTGGCTGGCCACTGTGTGAGACAGGATGCTGGACTGGATGGACCCTCCCTGGTCTGATCCAGCAGGACTCTTCTTACGTTCTTATCAGGGGAAGGCCTTGGCCTCTCTGCCCTGTTGTTGGCCCTCCAGAGGAACTGGGTGGCCACTGCATGAGACAGGATGCTGGACTAGGTGGACCCTCACTGGTCTGATCCAGCAGGGCTCTTCTGAGGTTCCTATCAGGGGAATGCCTCGACCTCTCTGCCCTGTTGTTGGCCCTCCAGAGGAACTGGTTGGCCAGTGCGTGAGACAGGATGCTGGACTAGGTGGACCCTCACTGGTCTGATCCAGCAGGGCTCTTCTGATGTCCTTATGACCCCAGATCACCCCCTGCGCTTACACAGCGGCTCCCGTGTGAAACGTCCAGCCTCAAAGACCGCTTTCCCTGGCCCCTTTCAACACCTTTCCCCAACTATGCCAGCTATGCTTCCATGCAGCCCTTCCTCAGGCCTGTACCAGAAACCTCTTGGCACGTTATTTCCTCCGGCCGGGAGAAGGCCGAGGGAATCCGTCCTCTGCATGTTGCTCTAAGCAGGGAAGGGGGAAAAGAACCTGACGGCTCCAGTTAAAACAACACTTAAGCGGGAACATCCTGCTCCATCCAAGGCTGTGCCGGCACAGCCCCCCAAGCCCCACAGTCTGTTCTCTTGAGAGATAAGGATAAACTCATTAGGGTTGCTCAATATAAACAGGAGATAAGGCGAGGAGGAGGGAGAGAGAGAGAGAGCAGCTGAGTTCCTCTGTCTGGACGCCCTCTTTCCTTCTCTTCGACTGGGCCTGACTAAAGCACCTTGAATCTGCTGTGCAGAGAAAGCAACAGACTCACCAAGAGGGCGTGGGAAGTCAAAGAGTATCAGCTAGATCAAGGGTGTCAAACATGCAGCCCGGGGGCCGGATCAGGCCCCTGGAGTGTTTCCATCAGGCCCGCAGTGGAACTGGCCGTCTCCTGCTTCCAGTTCTGCTGCTGCTGCTGCATCATAGCTTGCTTCCCCAGACTCTCTTAATCGCTCAGCCATTTCATGTGTCCCCCCTGGGTCCTAGAACTCCGAGCATGAGATTTCCGTGCTGAATGTCAATAGCCAGTATGGTGTAGTGGTTAAGTGCGCGGACTCTGATCTGGGAGAACCGGGTTTGATTCCCCCACTCCTCCACTTGCACCTGGCTGGATGACCTTGGGCAAGCCGTAGTTCTGGCACAGCTGTTCTTGAAAAAGAGCAGTTTCTTTCAGAGCTTTCTGAGCCCCACGTACCTCACAGGGTGTCTGTTGTGGGGAGGGGAAGGGAAAGGAGTTTGTAAGCCGCTTTGAGTCACCTTTGGATAGTGACGGGCGGGGTATAAATCCAATCTCCTTCTTCTTCAATAAATCAAAAGCAGGTTTGCAGATGCATTAGCATATTAGGCCACACCCTTGACAGCACAGCACATTAGCCTATTAGGCCACACCCCCATGTTACCAGAAGTGTGGTCATCCAGCCACACCCTCCTTTTGCTTCTTATTCTCTTTACCTTGTTTGTTGTCAAAACCCAGGGCTTTTTTGTAGCAGGAACTCCTTTGCATGTTAGGCCACACACCCCTAATGTAGCCAATCCGAATGAGTTTTTGCTGTTGGGTGTGGCCTATTATGCTAATGAGTTCCTGCTGGGCGTGGCCAACTTGGAAGCCAGCCGGAACTCCATTCCTGTGCGTTCCTGCCCAAAAATAGCCCTGGTTTTAAGCATGTTTTTATTTTAAGTTAAAAAAAAATCATTATGAAGTTAATATCTCCACTACCTGGCATTACATTTCATGACACACGTGGCCTGGCCCAACAAGATCTCATTTATGTCAGATCCAGTCCTCATAACAAATGAGTTCGACACCCCTGAGCTAGATCAAGATGGGTAGCTGTGACTGTCTGCAGCAGCAGAAAAGAGCAAGAGTCCAGGAGAACCTTAAAGGGAAACAAAATTTGTGGAAGGGGAGGAGCACTCGTGAGTCACTGCTCACTTCTTCAAATGCTGCTAAAATGGGGGTCCATCTGTCCTATTTATTATAAAGTGGAGTGATTTCAGATGCCGAGCAATATTAGCAGGCAAATTACAATAGTAGGTGAATGACAATAGCAGGCGTGATTGGATTTAGCTGAGATATGTAGAGGGGTAGCAGGCATGGAGAAATCAGCATTAGTGATGAGAGAGGAAACCTAGGTCTCTATTCAGTCCAGGTGGATGCATTGTCTTGAGCTTCGTTATCAATTGCAATTCAGCAGTCAATTGCAATGTAGCAATAGGAAAGAGCAAAAGTCCAGGGAGCAGTGACTTACTAAAGCTCATCCCCTGCCACAAATTTCATTAGTCTTTAAGGTGCTACTGGACTCTTTTCTACAGCATCAGCTAGATTTTAGTCCAACAAGATTTTGGGTGTATGAGCTCATGAGAGTCGGAGCTCCCTTTATCAGATACTATCCAACAAAGATTGTTTCAGAGGGTAGCCATGTCGGTCCACAGTAGAGCAGCTAGATTCCAACTTGAATCATAGGATCATAGAATGTTAAGAGTTGGAAGGGACCTTGCAGGTCATCTAGTCCAACCCCCTGCACTCTGCAGGAGCATAGCCGAAAGATAGCCCTATAACATACCCGAAAGATGGTCATCCAGCCTCCGCTTGAAAACATCCAGCGAAGGAGCATCCACCACCTCCCGATATGCTATTTATTTAACCTATAGGTTTTTAGCAGCGCCACATTATTTATTTATATTTATACATTCGACTTAGCATCCACATAAACTAACTTATTTCTTAATAGTTGGAAACCTAGAAATTGCTCTTCTTCCCTCTCTGACACCATTTCAGTTGTTATATTCGCTGCTAAAACTGCAATAGTCTCACGCTGGAAAAGTACATTAATCCCAGATTTAACATTATTGCACACACACAAAACTTTATGGGACCAATACATTATGGCAAAAATAACTGACAACCTATCCTATCTTGATTCTCAAATTTCCTCCTCCAACTATGTAACAACTTGGTTTCCCATTATGGAACACTTAGTAAAACAAGCCAGTTTGTTGCAGTGGTTAAATGTGCGGACTTTAATCTGGGAGAACCGGGTTTGATTCCCCACTCTTCCACTTGCACCTGCTGGATGACCTTGGGCAAGGCATAGTTCTGGCACAGCTGTTCTTGAAAAAGAGCAGTTTCTGTCAAGAGCTCTCTCAGCCCCACCTACCTCACAGGGTGTCTGTTGTGGAAAGGGGAAGGGAAAGGAGTTTGTAAGCCGCTCTGAGACTCCTTTGGGTAGTGAAGGGTGGGGGTATAAATCCAATCCTTCTTCTTCTTAATGTGATTGATGACCTGTGGTAACTATAAAGGCCACTTCCGCATTCTGATTTTCATCACTTGTGTGTCCCTATTTGCTTCAGGGGCTTCTCATCCCAATGTGTTTTGCTCTCTCTAGTAGCCCCTGCCTTAGATGGACCACTGGTCGGGTCCAGCAGGGCTCTTCTTATGCTCTTATCAGGGGAAGGCCTCGGCCTCTGTGCCCTGCTTTTGGCCATCCAGAGGAACTGGTTGGCCCATGTAAGACAGGTGTTGGACTAGATGGACCCCTGGTCTAGGTCTGATCCAGCAGGGCTCTTCTGATGTTCTCCACTACTAGCCAGTGTGAACTGACCTGCAGTCTTCAGCTCTAGCACTCTGAAGCGCAGAAAAGAGATCCCCCCCCCAAAAAAATTTTTTGTCCAGGGGCCTTCAAGAGCTACGCCGAGAAAATGAAACATGCTTTATTTTGCATCACTTCACGGATTTGCCTCCATCTAAAAGCACACCACAGAGGTCATGTCAAAAGGGTGCGTACTTCCTGCGTGCGAACCATGTGCTGGCCCACAGCCCCTCTTCGACAGCAGCGTGGCCGAGCCTGGATCGTGCACATACTGAAGCCCACTGCACAACCAGAGCATGGCAGGGGCACATACTTTGCACCAGCGCATCAAATCCCACACTCATTTGGGACGTTTGGTACGGCTGATTTCTGAGTAAACCCAGATCTAAGGAATTTCGTCTATGGGAAGCTGAAACATACTTCGGAATGCTGACCCAGGCCGTACGTCTTTCATATTATATCCCGGAGCTTAAGAAGCAATGACGTTGGGGAGAAAGAAATGCAAGCGTACTCACTGATGGATGGATCGTGATAATATCGCCGACAGAGTCAGAAGGACACCCCCGTATGGGCCAGCTTCAAACTGGAAGGCAGAGATGTTTAATTTATGTATTTATTTATTTTTTATTCAACTTATTCCCCGCCCCTCCCTGCCGAGGCAGGCTCAGGGCGGCTCCCATAAGATACATATCTAAATGCCATTAAAATCCATCATAAAAAACAGCCAAAAACCATTTCCGGAGCATCCTTTTCTCACTGGCCTTTCGTGGAGGAGCTACAAAATACCTTTTCCAAATCCCTGGGTTTAAAAAATACGCTTTCAAAAATGCAAGACTCAAGTTGGGAGAGGCAGACCGTTTTCAGTGGTGAACGATTTTGGAAGGTCACAGGCCCGGAAGTGTTGTGTCGGAAGGTTTACCGGAATGCCACAGTATTAGCTAGGGTCGCCAGCCTCCAGGTGGGACCTGGAGATCTCCCAGAATGACAACTAATCTCCAGACTACAGAGATCGGTTCCCCTTGAGGAAAAGGGCTGCTTAGGAGCAGTGTTCCCCCTAAGCTGAGTTAGTGTGAGCTATCAAGGAAAAGATCATTTTGGAGGTCACTAATTCATAGGGTCTCCATAAAAAGGTAAAGGTAAAGGTTCCCTTGCCCAAAAGCCAGTCAAATCCGACTCTAGGGTTGCGGTGCTCATCTCCGTTTCAAAGCCGAAGAGCCAGCGCTGTCCGAAGACGTTTCCGTGGTCATGTGGCCAGCATGACTAAACACCAAGGCGCACGGAATGCTGTCACCTTCCCGCCGAAGTGGTCCCTATTTATCTACTTGCAATTTCTTGCTTTCGAACTGCTAGGTTGGCAGGAGCTGGAACTAGAGATGGGAGCTCACTCTGTCATGCGGCAAGCTCGGGTCTCGAACTGTTGAACTACCGGCCTTCTGGTCTGCAGCTCAGCGTCTTAACCACTGAGCCACCACAGCCCGTATAATTTTCTATACTATTATATAAACATTGGTGTCAAGTATTACCAAACATAGGTTCAACAAAACAATACACCAAAGTGCAGGTCTACACTATGTTGAAACATTCAAACAGCACCTTGTCAGTTTCACGATGTAAAAAGCTCTAGCTAGAAAGTTCTAGCTAAAAGAGCTAGAAAGTTCTAGCTAAAAGAGCTAGAAAGTTCTAGCTAAAAGAGCTAGAAAGTTCTAGCTAAAAGAGCTAGACCTTCTGGCTGCCAGACAATCTCAGGGTCTCCTGGCTATTCTACACACAATGCGATATGATAAATATTACTAATCCCACCGAACTCTAGTAATTTACCCATATCAAATACGATGTTTTTCAAGGACAGTGATATACATACAAGACATACGGGTAAATTACAGGAGTCCCGTGGGACTAGTGATTGTGAAACTGACAATTAAGAAAAGAAAAAGAAAAAAGCACAAAATAGTTCTACCTTAAGCACACATCTATTATACAGAGTGTCATATATTTTTTCCATAAAAATCTAAGCAGGGTAGGAGAAAATCCACAGAACTGGAACCGTGACAGCACTAAGGAAGAAGTTTCAGGCGGGTGGCCATGTTAGTCTGTAGGGGTAGAACAAAACTCGAGTCCACGGGCACCTTAGAGACCAATGAAACTCTCCAGGCTTTACGCTTCCCTGAGTCAAAGCTAACTGGGTACCTGATGAAGTGAGTTTGACTCTAGAAACTTAATACCCTGGAAATGTTGCTGGCCTTTAAGGTGTCTCTGGACTTGAATGTTGACACATCAAGGCAAAGGAGTGCTATTGTTCATTTTCACACAGGCGGTATCATGCGTTCCAACAAAACCAGGATTAGAATGTCGCTTGTCTGGAAAGTGGCTCCTGGGTTCTAGAATGGTTTCCTTCCTCCTTGAAACACTGGTGAGGTTTCTGGGGACAGCAGCCAGGGGGTACTGGTGCAGCTGGTACTATATTGATGACTTCTGAACCACTGCCGTCCCTGACAGGAGAGGGGGAAAGTCAAAAAGCCTAACAAATGGCACTGGCTAAGGATTTTATACTTGGCTGTCTGCCGACCGTCACAGATCTGAACCAAGAAGCCCATGTCTGGGCCAGGCGTCGTACCTTGTAAATGTTCTGTTGCAGAAAGCTCAGCAGGTCTTCGTATTTTGTGATTACGTGCAGCATGACCTGTGGAAGCGGAAACAGAGGGTTCAGTTCACGTCAGAAGGAAAAGCGAACTTCTAATCAAGGCCTAGGCCGCGGCTCCCCCAAACTTCTTGAGACCGTGCGCACCGTCGGAGTTCTGACACTGGGTGCGGTCAGACGGGCCGTTTAGTCCGCTTCCGGGCCGCCACAGAAACGGATTTTATCTGCGCGGTCACACGGGCAACATCTGCATTGCAACTGAACTCCAGGTTGTCCTGGAGTTCTCCAAGAATTAAGACTGATGTCCTGACTACATAGATCAGTTCTCCTGGAGAAAAAGGTAGCTTAGGAGGGTAGACCCCATGGTGTCACATTCCTACTGAGCTCCCTTCTCAGGCACCACCACCTCCAAATCTCCAGGAATTTCCAACCCAGAATTGACAAAATTACTTTTATGTATAGTGGACACAAACACAAAAGTTCAAAAAGCTCTACACAAAGAATTTCAGAATTCATATTCTTCTTCTCCATCTGCCTCCCGTCCCCAGCCATCACTTTCAGGCTCAGAACTGCTTTAACCCGGAGTATTTTGATACCAGGTCCCCAAGTGGTGTTTTCCTGATTCTCCGGTTCCAGCGGCATTTCCCCCCTGTGTGATCGTGCCTACGGTGTCGAGCCACTTCCGGTTTAAACCCCCTCCCCGCTCGAAAGCTGCCCGAGGCTTCTGCTTTTCGCCTGCCTTTTTTTTTCAAGCGTTGCCGGTGTGCGCATAGGCGGAGGTCCGCCACCACGTTATTAAAAACAATGTTTAAACGGTGCCTAGTTTTAGTGTTTAGACGAGTTTGGGATCTCACGGAGGCCATTTTGGGGGTAAACGTTTAAAGGGAAGTGTTCCTTTAAAGTTTAAATGGAAGTGTTACAAGCAGTCGGGTTGAAGTGGAAATCGCTGTTCTGCGCATGCGCGAAAATTTTAGTTCTACACATGGCTGTCTGTGCGCATGCCCAAACTGAGACGGCCACCACTGCCCAAACTGAGACGGCGGGGAGCGATGTGGCTGCGCAGTGATCCGGAGCAATGAGGTGAGTGTGATCGTGATTCTCCAGGTAAAAAAAAACAAAAACGCATCGAGGCCGGAACAGTTTAAACCGCTCCCAGCAAACTCAAACGAGACACAGATCTGGCTACCATTCTATTTATTTATTTAATGTATTTTAAAAACCCACTTGTATTGCACTTCTAATTACACTCACCCATTGACAAAACCACCACAATAAAACACACAGAAACAATGGCAATAATGGAATGGACTCTTCACACCTCGGTGTACAGGTGCTGGAACCCAGCAGGAGACTTGGGGGAGAGGACACGTGAGGTGCCATTGTGTCGGTGGCATGATGGCATTTCCAGGCCTAACTTGGATGTGACGTCACGCCACTCTAGCACCCAGCAGAAACTCTATGGTAAACCACAGAGTTTCCACTGAATCCTAGAGCGGCGCGTCTTCATTTCTGGGTTTGCCTCAAAAATCACAGCGTGCCATCGATGCGACGGTGAGTTTTCCTTAATTTTTTCTCTCGCTGGCTTACAGAATGGTGGTGGGTGTTGTGTAATGACCCGACCATGTGCGCGATCCGGTTGCAGCCAGTCCACACGGGGTCATGCGAAGAGCCTGAGCTTCGCTCCACCAGAACAATAGGTAGTTGGATCCTAGTTCCCCTTCCAATTGGGGAACTAGGATCCTAGAGTTAATTCTATTAATGTAAATAGACCTATACCTGCCACCTGGAGGTCAGTTGTAAAAATGGGAGATCTCCAGGTGTTGGGGTGTGTTTGGGTGTGGTTTGGCTTCAGCATATAAGCCGGCCTGCGAGCCGGCTTCTGTGTCTTGTTCCTGAGCTATAAATAAAGATATGAGCTGATTCACTACTTCATGCATCGGACCCTGTACTTTTCAGTGGGGACTGGGTGGGGGCCAGCGGAAAGACTCCCGCCATTGCATGACACCTGGCAATCCTTCTTTGGCCCAGTTAGGAACCGTACCAAACTGTCAGTTCAAGGACAGAGCTAGCAGAGCTGATCAAAGAACTGCCAGGAGCCACCGCTCTCAAAATCAGGCATCAAACCACCACTGGGGAAAAAACCGCTGGGCGCAATCTAACCAGAGGAGATGCTTTACGCACCTCCTGTGGCAAGTCATTCCAAAGAGTGGAGGGGCCACCACTGAAAAAGCCAGAAGAACCCGTTGGGAAGAGGGAACCTCCAAGCACGATTTGTAGGGCTGAGCAGAGTTGCTAAGAGCTAGCGTGGTATAGTAGTTAAGAGCGGCAGACCCGAATCTGCAGAACCAAATTTGATTCCCCACTCCTCCACATGAAGCCAGCTGGGTGACCTTGGGGCAGTCACAAGCTCTCTCAGGACACCCCACCTACCTCCCAGGTTGCCTGTTGTGGGGAGAGGAAGGGAAGGCGATTGTAAGCCGCTCTGAGGCTCCTTCCGGAAGTGAAAAGTGGGGCATAAAAACCAACCCTTCTCCTTCTATATGCAGCTAGCCAGAGATATACCCGTGAGTATTCAGTCCGTGACCATCAACAGATCAAGACAGTGGATGGAGACTCTCCCTCGCTCTATTCTGCTATGGTCAGGGCTCACCTGGAGTCCTGTGTCCAGTTTTGGGCACCACGTTTTAGGAAGGATGTTGACAAGCTTGAGCGTGTCCAGAAGAGGGCAACCAGGATGGTGAGAGGGTTGGAATCAAGTCTTATGAGGAAAGGCTGAAAGAGTTGGGTCTGTTTAGCCTGGGAAAGAGAAGGCTTAGAGGGGACATGATTGCAGTAGGGCTGCCAAGTGGGGGTGGGAAAACCCCCGCTTTGGAGGCCCGATTTCCGCCGTGGCGGAATCGGGCCCCGGGGGGAACCCAGCCCCCCAAAGCTGCGTCACCGGAGATGACGCAGCCACGTAACTCACGTTGGGGGCGTGGCCCAGATCGTCGGGGGGGGGAAACCATATGGTTTCCCCCCCCGATGATCTGGGCCATGCCCACAATGTGCTCTACGTCGTGCGTCACTTCCTGTGACGTTCTGGCGGCGCGCGCATCCCTCGTCAGCTCCCGGACCGGATCAACGCTCCCCCGCCGGTGAGTACTGAAGACTTGGTAACTCTAGTGAGGTGTGATGGCAGCAAGGCATAAAACTATGGCTCCTAACTTTAAGAGTGGTTGAGCAGTGGAACAGTCTGCCTCAGGAGGTGGTGGAGGCTCCTTTGCTGGACGTTTCCAAGCGGAGGCTGGACGACCACCTTTCGGGTATGGTGTAGGGCTATCTTTCGGCTATGCTCCTGCAGAGTGCAGGGGGCTGGACTAGATGGCCTGCAAGACCCCTTCCAACTCTAACATTCTATGATTCTATGATTCCTGTTCTCCTTTCAATGTCACTCTCTCCATCCTGCGCTCGTGTTCCGGGTGTGGTGGTTGGAATGCTGGACTCGGAGCTAGGAGTTCCAGGTTCAGAGATCCACGTTGGCACAGAGGCTCGCTGGGTGACCTGAGGACCGCCCCTCTCCCTCGGCCTGGCCAATGTGGCAGCATTACTGGGGAGCAGTGTTCTCTCTACGCTGTGGAGTCTTGTGAGCAAGAATTCTACTCTGTGAGCTGCTGGCATTAAAGTTGTGAGCCAGCGATTTGGCTGCTGCCTCATTTAGTTTGCTCTGGAGCCCTCCTTCCTGAGCTAAGGCAAAAATCTGTGAGCTGGGGGCTAAAAAACTGCGAGCCAGCTCACAGTAACTCAGCTTAGAGGGAACACTGACTGGGAGCACAAAATGGGGGCCAGAGAAGCATGTACAACCACAACAAGTTTATTCACAGCGAAAAGCCAGCACTCTAATACAACAAACTAACTCAAACTAAATTCATACAACCACAAGCACAAATCTCTCCCTTATATATAATTGAGCAAGACGCAGCTTCACGCAGCGGGGAGAAAATGCACACCGACAGTGTTTGGACGCTTGAGCTGTCCGTCAGAAGCTTCCCCACCTTCCATTGGCTGTGTCGCCTAACTCTCACCTCAGAACACTCCGCCCCCCGCCCAACTAGCCAGGGCTGGAAGGAATCAGTGGAAGCCCGGCGCCGGCAGCTCATCCCCACTCGCCACGGCCGGATTCTCCCCCACTTTATCGCACGCCTGTTTACCCCCCTCGCCCGCCCGCCCACCCACCCCTGCCTTCAAAAACCCCTTGGAGCCCTACAGGCTTCCGGCCACAGCAGGCGACGAGCAGCGGCAGCAGCGCTGAGCCAACCCCCCACCCTGGGTTTGCCCCTCCCCCCACCTTCGCCAGCTCTCTTTCTCCTTCCTTCGTCTCTCTCTCTCTTTCTAGGGGTCTCCATCCACAACAGGCTTTGCTCCCTAGTGAAATATATAAAATGAATATCAAATAGAACATGCCTGTAAAACCTGTTAAGTCCTGTAACAAATGACATCTATTCGTCTTTCGCTAGTCGCTTTCTAGTTAGAGAGGCATGTACATTTCCCTGCGTTCCTTAGAGGGAGGGTGGAATGAAATACAAAATGTACTAGACGCCAAGATTCTCTGGGTGGAAGTGGAACATCGGTCTCTATTGTCCTTGAGGGGGATATTATTTGCAATGTGGATTTGATTTTTTTTCATCCTGCAACGATCATTGCTCCAGTTGAGTACTGTTCTGATGGGGTTGTTTTTCCCCTCATCAAATGGACAGCCTGTCAGGTCGGAGTGGGACCGGGAAGCTGCTTTCCCACCAGGAAACAGCCTCCTCCTCTAAAGCAGACCCGCAATTCTCGTAGCAGAGCCCCGAAGCTGGATTCTTTTTTTCCCAAAGAAAGTCTGGCGTCGGGGCTCTACGACGTGCAGACTGGCACGGGAGACGAAGCTGTCCCTGTGTGACAGCAGCCCAGCTAGGGGGAAGATAGCAAGGAGCGCAATCCCTCCCTTCTGTTCTTTGCAGCGTGGGATTAGGCTAAACGTATCCAGAACCAGAGCCCGGGAAGGAGTCTGAAAATGCTGGAGGTGCTGAAAGTTGCTCTGGCATCCCTCCAGTTTGCCAGACGCCGTGTCTCTTTGTATCATGAGGGCTAGGAGCATGTTTTCCTCCTTGGAGGGAGAGCCGAGATTCTCGGGATTCCAAAATTCCAGGCGTGCATCAGGGTAGATGCCTGGTGGCCCCTCTCCGGGACACTCACACACATACGAGAAACACGTACACAGAAGACGGATAGGGATGCCCGCCTCCAGGTGGGACCTGGGGACCAGTGTTCCCTCTAAGCTGAGTCGGTATGAGCTAGCTCACAGTTTTTTAGCCTCCGGCTCACACATTTCCCCCTTCGCTCAGGGAGGACAGCTCCAGAGCAAACTAATTCATGCAGTAGCCAAATGGCTCGCTCGCAACTTTAATGCCAGCAGCTCACAAAGTAGAATTTTTGCTCACCAGACTCCACAGCTTAGAGGGAGCCTTGCTGGGGATCCCCGGGAATTTCAGCTTACCTCCAGGCTACAGAGATCAGTTCCCCTGGAGAAAATGGCTGTTTTGGAGGATGGAGTCCAGCGTTCCCTCTAAGCTGAGTCAGTATGAGCTAGCTCACAGTTTTTTAGCTTCCGGCTCACTCATTTTTGTCTTCACTCCGGAAGGATGGCTCCAGAGCAAACTGATTCATGCAGCAGCCAAATCGCTCACTCGCAACCAATGCTCCCTCTAAGCTGAGTTAGTGTGAGCTAGCTCAGTTTTTTTAGCCTCCGGCTCATTCGTTTTTATCTTCACTCAGGAAGGAGGGCTCCAGAGCAAACTGATTCATGCAGCAGCCAAATCGCTCACTCGCAACCAATGCTCCCTCTAAGCTGAGTTAGTGTGAGCTAGCTCACAGTTTTTTAGCTTCCGGCTCACTCATTTTCGTCTTCACTCAGGAAGGATGGCTCCAGAGCAAACTGATTTATGCAGCAGCCAAATCGCTCACTCACAACCAGTGTTCCCTCTAAGCTGAGTTAGTGTGAGCTAGCTCACAGTGTTTTAGCCTCCGGCTCACATATTTTTGTCTTCGCTCAGGAAGGATGGCTCCAGAGAAAACTGATTTATGCAGCAGCCAAATCGCTCACTCACAACCAGTGTTCCTTCTAAGCTGAGTTAGTGTGAGCTAGCTCACAGTGTTTGAGCCTCCGGCTCACACATTTTTGTCTTCGCTCAGGAAGGAGGGCTCCAGGGCAAACAAAGTTATGCAGCAGCCAAGTCACTCGCTCACAACTTTAATGCCAGTACCCCACAAAGTAGAATTTTTGCTCACAGGACTCCACAGTTTAGAGGGGAGCATCGCTCACAACGTTTAATGCCAGTAACTTGCAAAGTAGCATTTTTGCTCACAGGACTCCACAGCTTAGAGGGGAGCATCGCTCACAACTTTTAATGCCAGTAACTTGCAAAGTTGCATTTTTGCTCTCAAGACTCCACACCTTTGAGGGAGTATTGCTGGAGTCTATGGCATATTATATCTCACTGAGGTCCCTGTCATTCCCAGCCTGGATCTGGCCACCCTACCCCCCATCCCCGTCTAGTGGCCAGGGGGGACCTGGCAAAACCAGGGGTCATTTCCTGCAGGAGCGCACAGGAACGGAGCTCCGGCACTAAAGAGCCCAGGGGGCGAGAACATGCAACAAGCCCCACCCCCCTGCTCCCAGCAGCCCTCAGTCAGAGCAAGAAGCAGCTAGGTAAGCTGCAGAACCTCCTCCCCCAGCCCCCCCCTGGTCCAAAACAGTCCAGTGGCACCTTTAAGACCAAGTTTTATTCAGGTACAAGCTCTCCCTCCTCTGCGAGGACAGATCTGCAAGTCCCCCCCCCAATAGCTAGCAATCCAAAACAGTCCAGTGGAGCCTGAGCAGTGGGTGTTGCCTTCTGACACACTTCCGGTGATGTCAGGGGGTGTGGCATATGCAAATAAGTTAATGAGCTCCTGCACTTTTTCTACTAAATGACCCCTGGGCAAAACCAAGTCGGAAGGAATTCCTACCGTTTCGAGGATCCCGTCTGCTTTGTATTTTCCTGCAGGGGTGAACTGCTGTGTTCCAGTGCACCTGGACCGGA